GCCCCGCCACCTAGCGGCGGGCCCAAGTACTAGTCACGGACCTTGGTACAACCTGTAAACATCACTAATTGTCCTCATATAATGCTATACTGTTAACCATATAATTCTTGTGTGTCACGAAGAATATATTCATCACATCATTCAATCTTTACAACCTCACAACCCGTCTAATCATCGATGAAGTTCGTTCATGATATCTCATGATGATAACACTGAAGGCAGTGTCGTTTAACCCCTAAGGAAATGTGTATGTTTATCTCTGAGAATGTTTGGTAATATGTTTATTGTTTCACACACAGAGATCACACTAACGTGATGCATCAAATGAACAAATCCACAAGGGCCGTACGAGGATTCGAACTTTTACCCTGTCGTAGCTCAGTCGATTAAGGCAGTGTCTGGGATGCTCCCGGACGCAGGTTCGAATCCTCGTCACGGCCCTTGTGGATTTGTTCATGTTTATTGCTTGTGATGTGTGTCTATGTGATGTATTAACACGATGTACTGAACGGGGTGAGAATAGCTTGAGCTACCTCATCCCTTTGTGTGTATTTTACCTCAATAAACTTATTTCAATTTCAATTTCAATTAACCCCGTATTGTGGCCTAGTCCGCTCGGCCACTGCCGGCCTCTGCTCGGCCGGCATCATCATTGCAGTTGTTGTATTAATGGGTGAGACGTGGGCAGCAGGAGAGGCCAAGGCTGGCGGGTGGTGCCCTTAGCGTGGGTTATCTTGAGGTTATCTTGAGATGATTTCGGGGCTTTTTAGTGTCCCCGCGGCCCGGTCTTCGACCAGGCCTCCACCCCTAGGAAGCAGCCCGTGACAGCTGACTAACACCCAGGTACCTATTTTACTGCTAGGTAACAGGGGCATAGGGTGAAAGAAACTCTGCCCATTGTTTCTCGCCGGTGCCTAGGATCGAACCCAGGACCACAGGATCACAAGTCCAGCGTGCCGTCCGCTCGGCCGACCGGCTCCACCGGACTGGTATAAGCTGCCAGTTTAAGCTAGTCTCAGGTGGTGGTCTCTGGCTAACGCCTCTCCACCTGGCTCCTCGCTTCATTTACCCCCACACTAATTACTCCCTAAACACCGTCGCTACAAGGTAATGTTGACTATGACCACGGCGGCAGCGTGGGGGAGTAGCAGCAGGCGACTACGGCGGCAGTGTGGGGGAGAGGCAGCAGGTGTGGCCACAGAACCACTAACTGCCCTCCCGTGCAGGGAAGGGCAGGGGAGAGCAGGGGGAGAGTGAGAGCTTAGCGGCCACTGACACAATAAGGGGCGTCAACCCCTGGCTGGTGTGTGTTGGTGTCCGAGGGCAAGACCAGGCGCCCCCCACACCACCGCTCTCAACAATTAACCAAATGGACCCATATACTGACGCTGGTAACTGTATTGTAGCGATACAATACGTGTTGTATTGTATCGCTACAACCGCGCCCATTACACGTGTTGTAATGGGCGCGGTGGTGCTAGGTATAAACTCTCACAACTACAAAATTGCTTTTCTGGCTCTTGGCAGCAACTGGAGCCAGAATGCTACATTAAACACACGCAGGAACGCCCGCGCGTACACACAGTTGATTGACAGTTGAGAGGCGGGACCAAAGAGCCGAAACTCAACCCCCACAAGGACAACTAGGTGAATACAACTAAGTGAGGTGATTGATTGATAAAGATTAAGCCACCCAAAAGGTGACACGGGCATGAATAGCCCATAAATGGGACTCTTTGGAGCCATCACCAGTACCAATAGCTGACACTGGAGATCTGTGAATGGACGGGGTTTGATAGGACATGGTGGATTGACCGTTTTTTTTTTGTTTTGAGATATATACAAGAGTTGTTACATTCTTGTACAGCCACTAGTACGCGTAGCGTTTCGGGCAAGTCCTTAATCCTATGGTCCCTGGAATACGATCCCCTGCCGCGAAGAATCGTTTTTTCATCCAAGTACACATTTTACTGTTGCGTTAAACAGAGGCTACAGTTAAGGAATTGCGCCCAGTAAATCCTCCCCGGCCAGGATACGAACCCATGACATAGCGCTCGCGGAACGCCAGGCGAGTGTCTTACCACTACACCACGGAGACTATGTTGTTGTTTCTAGATTCAGCCAGCCGAAACAAAAAGCCCCAAGCAGCACGGACCATGGTGACCCCGTAGTCGACTGTGCCTCAGGAGCGGGGCTGTAACTGAGAGGGAAGCAATCAATCAATCGAGTGTTCAAGTAAAGGGGGGCGGGAAGAATAGTGTAGAGCGGAAGCGTCGTAGAGAGTCGAGCCAGGGCTTGACCCAGCAACAGTGCCAGGACTCTTGGGGCCAGATTCACGAAGCAGTTACGCAAGCACTTACGAACGTGTACATCTTTCCTCAATCTTTGACGGCTTTGGTTACATTTATTAAACAGTTTACAAGCATGAAAACTTGCCAATCAACTGTTGTTATTGTTATAAACAGCCTCCTGGTGCTTCCGAGCTCATTAACTGTTTAATAATTGCAAACAAAGCCGCCAAAGATTGAGAAAAGATGTTCAGGTTCGTAAGTGCTTGCGTAACTGCTTCGTGAATCTGGCCCTTGGATCGTTGTCGTAGAAATGATCCACCATCCAAAGCACCAAGGGGGCAGAGAGGGCCGAGCACCAGTCAGAAGTCCTTGCCAAACTATCTTATTTTTTTCTGGGGGAGGGGAGTGAGAGAGGAGGGGCTGGTTGTATCAGTTATAGAGCTGTTGAGTTATTATAGACCTCTAGGTCTTCCATCTTTTCTTTGGTTGAGACTTGCTGCGAGTTGACATTGGAGTTGACATTGCCGTGCTCTCTTTGGAATTTGGTGAGGTGGCCTCCTTGAGAAGGTCTTGTACCGCATAAGATTTCTGCTGCGGCAGTGGAGCTCCTACTGAGATTTCCTCGTCTGAGGAGTCTGTAGCCTCCGTAGTTGGTAGCTTTGTCTTGGGTCTCGCAGCCTGAGGTAGGCTCATGCGTCGTGGATTAGTGGTAGAAGCTATTTCAGGAGGGTTAGTGGTGGTGTTTGCATTTGTAGAGAGCACGTCTGCTAGCGCGTCGGCTGAGATGGTGATGGTAGGAGTGTTGGGAAACGAAACGAAACTATCAGGAAAATTATATAGCACCTGGGAGTTGGTCAGGATAAGGATTTGGGATGGGACGGGGGGAAGGAATGGTGTCCAACCACTTGGACGGTCGGGGATTGAACGCCGACCTGCATGAAGCGAGACCGTCGCTCTACCGTCCAGCCCAAGTAGTTGGAGGAGTGTAGGGAGCTGGAGAGGGAAATATCTCTATGCCGCCTGGGTCTTGGGTGGTTCTGGAGTCTGTGTTGAGATCGACCTGGTGGTCGTCCTGGTGGTAGTCTCCGGACTGGTAGTAGAGGCATTAAGACATGTGTCCAGGGCGATGATGGGGTCCAGGCCGCTGGCTAGGTACAGGGCGTCGACTTCCATGACGAATCGTTAATTGTCTGGTCCGGCAAGCCTCATCGCTAGTCGAATAAGACCCCGGGATAATGCCTGGAAGGGGCTTTGAGGATGCTGGTTGGTCCTTAGGTCCCCATTATGGGGGCCGATGGCCTGGTAAGACTGGGAAGTCTTCTGGTAGGTTGGTGGTAACTTGGGTAGATGCTGAGTTTGGTGCCGGTGGCTGCGGAGGTAGAAGGTTTGGCTTTCTGGGATTCAGCCTGGATCCTAATGATTTCCTGTCTGCGAAGGCAGCGGTGGAAAATTCCAGGGTGATCGCCGCTGCAGAGCAGGCAGCAATGGGTTTTTGACTTGCAGATGGAATAATGATTTTCCTGGGGCGCAAAGGCCGCACTTCTGGCTGGGTGCTGACACTTGTTGGTGGGGCGGGAGTAATCGTAGCACCGACAGCACTGTTGGAGCTGGTGCAATCGTTCCTTCTTCACTTGGAAGGGTTGAATCTTGATGCTGAAGCTGTAGAGAGGATGTGTGGCAGCCTGGTTAGCCTCGACTAAGGTGGTGAAGGATATCTTCACGGGCACTTGTCGGTATCAGCGCTGCAGAATATAACATCAAATACCCTCAGGTTCGGCTTTTCTTCCTCGATGTTGGTAATGATCTCCTTTTGTTCTCGGTGCCGCGATCCAGCGGCTGGTCCCGCTGATAAAGGCTGTTCTCGGCGGTGAACTGACGCGGGAAGAGAGGACAGAGGTGAGTAGTGTAAAGTGCGACTAGAGCGACGCGCGCCACCTGCCCAGGTGGCACTCTTGAGTGCCAGCTGGGCAGGAGTGGCGCTCTAGTCGCACTTTACACTACTGAGGTGGTGCACTTTGCGAAGTGTGCCATCAAATTTTTGGAGTTTTTCGAGATCGTCCACACGAGAAGTCGGGCACAATATCCTCCCCTTCTTGACCAGTGTCGACGGGTGTAATGCTGCCGCCTTCTTTTAGGACCTTCAAGACGGCGCTTTTGGTGATAGCATGGCCGTCCAAGGGGGAAGTCCTGACTTTAAGGCGTTTGTGGCGCATTGTTGTTGTTAAAGACCACCCCTTCAACGGGTCGCAGTGGCGGGGCATGTCGCGTGAAGTGGCACAGACTTGTTGGTGCCCTACCCGTTAATGATCATTACATAAGGTGGGCGATGAGTCACAATAACGTGGCTGAAGTATGTTGACCACACCACACACTAGAAATTGAAGAGACGACGACGTTTCGGTCCGTCCTGGACCATTCTCAAGTCGATTGTGAGAATGACAATCGACTTGAGAATGGTCCAGGACGGACCGAAACGTCGTCGTCTCTTCAATTTCTAGTGTGTGGTCTGGTCAACATAAGGTGGTCCTCCGTCTTCTCCCGTGTATGTATAAGATGAGAGTCAGTCAGCTCCAGTCAGTAGATATGTATAAGATGAGAGTCAGTCAGCTCCAGTCAGTAGATATGTATAGGATGAGAGTCAGTCAGCTCCAGTCAGTAGATATGTATAAGATGAGAGTCAGTCAGCTCCAGTCAGTAGATATGTATAAGATGAGAGTCAGTCAGCTCCAGTCAGTAGACAAGACTGGCGCAGCAGAACACAAGACTTTTGTGGACGCTGAGGAGTCAG